GGCTCGCAGAATTAGAGCCCATTAGGCAGCAGTGAGGCAGAAATATTAAGCCCGAGGTTACAAAAACCTCTTCACAGTTAACGATCTGCCTGATATCTGCTCCCTGCGACTGCTCTCTAAAGTAATCCCTTCCATCAGTGCCATTATTCTAATTACTTTAGTCTTATTTGACTCACACAGGCCAGGATTTCTGCACCTTTACGAGCTTCTTTAACTCCGGCCGTCTCTGAATCTTTGAAATTAACTCCTAACAATCAAGAAAGGAACATTAAAAATGTCTGTGGGTTGTGCTGAGTGACACAGGTTTCAACAAGTTAGACAAGTGAGACTTTTGAGATCAGCACAAATGATTTCCTTCACTTCCACTTTGGGCACAAGCTCAGGTAGGTCAACGGTCAGCTTCTTCAGGTAAAACAAATCCCATAATAGGTTTTTTTTCCCCTCCGTCAGGTCGATGAGTTTGTCATATTTTCTTGTGTGAAGTAATTTGTAACATGCCTTCAGGGAAGCACTCTATAAATAAAGCCTCATTAAAACTATCGCAGTGAAGTTTTAGAATATTGTTGCTGTGCAGTTTAGATCAGAGGTGCCTTTAATAAAAGGCCGGTATTAAGTGGTTGTTCCTTCAGTGGGTAGAGAACACACCAAACGGGCTGCGCCACCTACAGGAGCTGCTCGGTTATAGAAATGAGGCCATGAAGCTCCTGTCACACAGCTTTAGTGCTGATGTTAATGCCAGAGGAGGTTTGGAGCTCCGCGGTTACAAGTCAGCAATCAGTTCCCCGATCTGCAACTTTATGTGGTTCTGCTGTGGTTTCTAAATGCTTCCTCTCAGCAATACCAAAACTTACAGCTGATGGTGGAATTTCTCCATGAAACTGTACAATGAGGAGAACACACCTGTTGAGAATAAGACACATTTCTGTTCTAAGACCTTTAAAATTATTTTTCAGACTCATCTACTCTTAAACAGTCGTTCACACAATTTCGTAGGAGGAATTTTTTGGCATTCATTTTTTGAATCAATCTCGATTTTTGAGACTTTTCACATGCGAATAAACAGATATGACCAATCGGACCACTGCATTTGTGGTCGTAGCTCTAAAACGTGCACCAGTACCGACTACACAATGAGATGGAAACAGCAGATGTTGCTCCGGGGTTAATCGGCTCTCTCAAATTGTTTCCCCAACATCTAGACCCAACTCTCCCAACAACAGTTCAAACTGCCCCACTGACATCCTGAAATAAGTACTAAAGCAGCTGTGATACAGCTCCTGGATCAAACCATTACCACTCAGTTTCTTCCGTTTCTTGTTTAGAAACATCAGGACCAGCTCATCGTCACTTCACCATGACTCTATTGTTTTTTGCATAAATGCAGAGCTTTTGGTGCATTTAAACGTTATGAGACACTTGCATATGAAAAATTGGGAATTTCGCATCGTTTTTCTAAATGCTTTCAGAGTGTAAAAGCCTTTACACATTCTTGGAGCTGTTTTAGATTTATAGTGTACATATTATGTATTAATACAATCTGTGCTGCTCTCTTACACATCAGTCTTTTCATTTCCCTCATTTTCACTGTTGTATATGTAAAACTGCTGCAGTCTCACAATATAAGGTTCTCACTACGCAACTGTGGCACTTTATCCATCTTGTTTATTTGTTGTTGACTATTTTTATTCCTTATCCTGCTGCTGTAATAATAATAATTTCCCTTGTGGGACCAATCAAGCATCTAACTATCACATTTAGTGCTTCAGCTGCCATAGTGTGTTTAACCTTTTCATATTTTTCCAGTATTGTAGCTTTAACCAAGCATGTTTCATCGGTAAGATGCTGCCAATCGTGCCTCTTTCTTGAAAGCGTGCTTATAGATAAATGAACAATCCCTGGGTTGACTGAGCCCAGCACAGAGCCCATTTGACAGCCCCGAACACATTGGTGGCACAGAGGAGGGCAGGGAGGTTCCTGTTTAGGAGAGCACATGAAAAAGGCTCATTAAAGCCAATGTCATGGAAATAAGCTTTGGGCAAACACCCACCACCACTACTTAGCCCCCCCAGCAGTTATTTCTGAGCTACATTGCTCAGGATGTGAGCTCGCTCCCTTCAGGGCTGAGCAGTTTTATTCCCTGCAGCTTCGCCCTCTCCTGTGTCTGGAACGCCGTTTTTTCCATTGCTAATAATGCACTTGAATCCACTTTGCCTTCAAACAGGATTCACGTGCAGCAGTGAAATGTAGTCGTATAACGAGCAACAAGCAGGGCAGAGGAAAAAAAAAAGAAAAAAAAAAGGCTGCGATGAAAATATATTCTTCAATTTCAACTTCCTACAGGAGGGAATGTTTGGAATAATGTATAAAAAGCTTGAGCATGACCCAGTTTTTCCCTCCCCCGGCACATTCGTATTCTGGTTACAATACGTATTAAATTTTTAATGTTTGTAAGGAATCAACATGTTCTTTTAAGAAGAGCAGCAAAGGCAGGCTTACTTCGGGTGAGCGGGTGAGGGAGGAAGGTGGGAGTCCTCTCAGCTACAGGGGAGAGCTCCTTCCCGATGGGACTGAGAGTCCGATGGAGGACAGGGTGGAGCGGGGAGGAGAGGGAAGGAACTGATGCACAGAGGGAGGGGAAGTAAGTTTTGGGAGAAAAAGATGTGACAGACAGCTGATTCATGAGTGAAAGTTGTGTGAGTGATATTCAAATCTGGACAGTACTCGAGGAAATTTAAGTCCCAGGCCAGCTGATTATGATGCTTTGAAAAAAGATAAAACATTGGTACCATGTCTTTCAGACGGCTGAGGAGTGGAGCAGGGCTTGGTTGGAGGGGAAGCACTGATGGGAGACACTCCGGCGACTCGACTCAGAGGAGGACCGGGAGAGGAGGAAGGAGAGGGGCTGGACAGGGAGCTACGCCACCTGGAGACTGAAGGAGGGAGAAAACAAGCACAGAGTTAGCATATGTTTAATACAAACTGTTACGTTTCCCTGTCAGACATGACACACCAACTAAAAGCTGTGGGTGGATAAAGAAACAAAAGAAAGTCGTCGTCGTCGATTTCTGCTCTTTTCAGCATAATTATTGGAATTTGTGAATATTCAGGAGTGCACAACAAAGCAAGTGCGCTTATCTAGAAGTCTAAGGGGAAAGTGGCCCAACTGCTCACTTTATTTACTTAGTAAATTTCAATTTATAGTCTTAAACATTGGTTTCAAGTCTAATTTAATACAAGATCAGGTTTATTTTATAAATGTTAGTCCAATATAGAGAAATTAATGATAAAAAGCAGGGTATTTAGTAGTGGATACTCTGGTAATAATGACTTAAGGAGTGACTACCTCTTGATAAACAAGCCACCTCCATGTGAGTACATCGACTCATCTAACAAAAACTACCCCCCCAAAAAAGAAAAAAAATGATATTTTTATATATTTTTATTTATCATACTTTTATATACAAACTATAGTTTCACATTAAGTGTGCATTATCCCGAAGGGTGAAGTAGTTTTTAGTACATGCACCAATCATGCATGCACCAATCGTCCACTGGGCCACCAAACTGACCCAGTGGACGGCTTTAGAAAATGTGACACTTGGAAAGTAGAAGGATACTTGCACAAAATATTGTACTTGTCAAAAGTACAATATGTCAAAAGACTTCACCTAAGGAATGGCATACCACACCAAAGTAGGTAGAAATGTAGGCGTTCTTGATCATTAGTATTCCAACACCCAACTTTGGAGACAAAGTTAGAGAGGCAAGGCTGAAATTTATTGGACAAAGGGTGTTAAATATGGAAGAAGGGAAAGAGTTTTCATACTATGAGGGAAACAACTGGCAGGTAGACATGTTTATCGATGCTGTAACTTCATTGGTCCAGCGCACATAAAATCAAATTGGGCTGGATGGTGCCCACAATGTAAAATTAGTCTGACACCACTGATCAGTGGAAGTTACTGAGCTGACACACCCATTTATTTAAATAAAACATTCCCATATTACATGACTGATGGGTAGATCAAACATGTTGCTAGACTGTTCACGGACCATGTAGCAAAGGCCAATACTGAGAATATGCAGCAGCTTGTTAGAATTAATACACATTAACATTTGATTTCACTCACTTCCGTCGATAGTTCATATTTTGGTTCTGTCTCTATATAAAAGTGAAGTTCCATCATACAGCTCCAACTGCCCAATAATATTTTAGTAATAATCTTTTGGAGAATCTCTTTGACTAATTTCAGATAAACACATTTGCTTTTATTTGCAGTGCAAATTTTGCATCAATCTCCCATCTCCCTTTGAGCCTGAGATCTGTGGACTGAGTGGTCGCTTTTAAAAAACAGCTAAAAAAAAACAGCTAAAAAAAACTGATCTTTTTAAACTTGCTTTTTGTTGATTTTTATTTTTAGGTTTTAGCTTCTGTGAAGCACTTTGTGATTTTTATCTTGAAAGGTGCTATATAAATAAAGTTTTACTTATCAATCTTGTATAAAATGAAAAAGATTTCCTAACATACAAAAACATTTTTATTTTGAACAGATCATATTTCATTAATATAGGGATATACACATCCGTTATTTGGAACAGATATCCTGAACTTTTCGGCCAATAAGTGCCGATTTAATCATTTTTGCCAGTGTTAGCTGCCGTTAGCCTCTTTTAGCCGGCGTTAACCTCCGTTAGCGAAACCTTGAGGGTAGCTCTAGCATTGTTAGACTTACCATCTGTCAGACTATGATGTGAGAATGAAGTCACACTCTTTGTCAGATAAAAAGTTTTCAGGTCACTTGACCTTATCATTAGCTGGTGACTCTTTGAGTCACTTTTTCACTGCTTTTGCAAATACGGAACCCTTCTCAGATGACAGTACTTTATCATATCTCAACTCTGAAGCTGCAGAAATGAATTAAAATTTGTTTATGACTTCTCTTCTCGTATGTGGCCGGTCTCTAGCTAAATACATAAAACAAGACTGAACAGTGTGTTCAAGGTGGCGGGCCAATATGACAAACCACAAACCTGCACCTACGTATTTTTAACAGATTAATTCTAAGTTTGAGAACACAGTTTGTCAGAATACATAATTATGCACTTATAAATATATATTTATGAGCATAATAATATTGTTTTTCTGTTAAAAACGACTGACTAACATTTAAGCTCAGAGTCGGGTAGACGTAGAAACTAGAAGGACATCACTGAGAAGCTTTTATTTCACTTACAGTAACGACTTGTTGCCAACTCGATTAATGTCCTTTTACTCCACCTGTGCCTCGATAGCTCTACATCAATGAGTGCAGGAGTGGGAATAAAGGACAAACTAGAGTGTAAATGAGCCACAGTCCTCATTTCCTCACAATGAATTGGTACTTCACACCAGCAAGCATCCAAAATGAAACATGTTAACATTTTTGGGTGTAATGTCTCTTTAAATGTGAATATTCTATGGGACTTAAAAAAAAGAAAAAAAAAAAATCACCATCAGTTCGACTCTTTTGTTCTTTACAGCTCAAAATCAGAGATAAAAAGACAATAACCACACAAAGCCAGACATCACAGACGTCTTTGTGCATGAGGGCAGCGCCGTGCAGCCGCTACCTCACCAGCGGTGTCTGTCACCGACTGCTCTATTCAGCAGCTCAGCGCCGAGGACAAAGCAGGATTCAACACAACAGAGACGCTCACACAATGCAGCTGTACCTGGTGCTGTGCGC